TATATGCGCCGCGTACAAGCATTTGTTTGTCAGTTGTAAATCACTTCTGGTCTGTGATTCGATTCCCCCCGAGTATAAGATGTGGTACTCGAATTCTTAGCCTTCGGTCATTCATATATATATATATATATATCTGTGTGTGTGTGTGTGTTTGTGTGTGTGTGGGGTTTACATAATTATAAACCAAGCTCTATGTATTACATATTTGACACCTGAACTTTGCTTTTTTTACATTTATACTGCCCAAATATTTCGCAACACCTAAAAAAGACCACATTTTAATTTAAAAAAAAGAAAATAAAATGCACCATTTTATGTATAGGCGAGATGGCGTGTACGTAAAATTTGAAGTTTAGGTGGTTGATATGTAAATGTATAGGATTGAGTGGCATGCATGTAAATCTTCCAGAAGGAATAAAGCGAACCCGGTTCACCGGCCCATTAAGACGGGTTATCTGTGAGACGGGTCACCTAGACTTCTATGGACCCCGAGAAGCGCGTTACCGCGGCTTTGAGATTCAAACTTCAACGGTCAACATTCAAATCCAAATCCCATATAACCTTCCATCTCCCACCTGTCCCTGCCTGCCACACTATTATTTGAGCCATTCACTCTTTTCTTTTCTCTCAATCCCACTCCCTTACCATCCCATTAGTGAAGGTCTCTCCATGGCCTTCTCCACCAAGACAAAAACCCCTAGATTTTCAATCCAACTACCCCCGATCATCCCCGAGCTCATCATCCCAGATCATTTTCAATGCCCAATCTCACTCGATCTCATGAAGGATCCTGTGACGGCCCCAACCGGCATCACCTACGACCGCCAGAGCATTGAGAGGTGGCTTGACATGGGGAACTCTCTTTGTCCAATTACTAACAAAAAGCTTGTCGTGGAAGACCTCATCCCCAATCATAACATACGAAGAATGATCCAGAATTGGTGCGTAAAGAATAGATCTCATGGATTTGAGCAGATTCCAACCCCTCAGATTCCCGTCAGCTCGGTCGATGCCACTGAGATCCTCTCCAATATCTCCTTGGCTTGCCAGAGTCGAGATGACGACCAATGCTTAAAATTTATTGGGAGATTGAAGTCGTTAGAGAAGGAGAGCGAGCGAAATCGACGTTGTTTCGTGTCGAATGGCGCCCCAACTGTCTTAGCATATACTTTCAGGATGTTAGCAGCAGAATCTCTCGAGCTCTTAACGGAGATCTTAGAAGCATTGGTAGGCCTCCTACCTTTCGATGAGAAGCTTGTAATATTAGAATTAGGACCGACATCAGAATCAATAGATTCAATCATAAAGATTATGAGGCATGGAGATGTTGGAAGCAAGCTTAATGCCGTGCTGGTGGTGAAGAAGATGGCGGCGGCAACCAAAGCTATTGCTAATAAGAATGGCCTTGTGGAAGCATTGATGGAGTTCATAAGAGAACCGGTCTCGAAGCCAGCCACCAAGGCCGCCATGGTGGCTACTTACCACCTCATCGACAACGACAAAAAGATAGCGACCAAATTCGTTAAATTAGGTTTGATACCTCTACTCCTCGATATTTTGGTCGACTCGGACAAAAGCATGGTGGAGAAGGCGCTTGTGATTCTTGATGAGTTGTGTGGATGCAATCTCGGTAGAGAAGAAGCTTGCGCCCATGCACTTACTATTCCAGTGCTTTCGAAGAAAATGTTTCGAGTTTCAGAAATGGCGACGGAGTTTACAGTCTCGGCATTGTGGAGGCTCTGTATGAACTGTGAAGGGAGGTGCTTAATTGAAAGCTTGCAGGTGGGGTTGTTCCAGAAGCTGCTAATGCTGTTGCAGGTTGGGTGCGGCGAGTCGACGAAGGAGAAGGCAACTGAGATGTTGAAGATGATGAGTAGATGCAGTGAAAAATTGGAATGTATTGATACAGCGATCCTTAAAGGACTGAATAGGCCTTCATGGTGATTTTTGGTCATACTGTAACAGAAAGTATATTATTGGAGTTTCAGCTGGCATACAGTAAATTTGCATAGAAATCATTGAGAATTCAATGTGATAGTTATATTTGGCTTCCGATATATGATTATTATATATAAATATATACAGTTATGGTGTGTTCAGATTGGAATGAGTTGTTTGAATCTTCGTATTGTTGATGTTTGTCTTAATGTTGAAGATTTGTATGGTCATTAAAGGGATGATTAGAGTTGTGTTGGAGGTGTGGCTGAATGATTGAATTTTTTTCTTATGTTTACTGTTGAGAGTTAATGCACGCTAGTTTACATTGATCTTATTAATCTTTTAGGAAAATTTACATGCAAACTACTCAATTCTTATGTATTTACATAACTAACATGTTAAAATTCAATTTTTACATATATGCCAGCTTATCCATTGATGAAAATGTGTATTTCACCTTTTAGAAGTTTAAATCATGACATTTTTTAATGTGATAGAATTGGGTGTTGTGCATGTAAAAAGCAAAATTAAGGTGTTAGATATGTAAATTCATTGGGAATTGGGTGGCATGTATGTAAATGCCTCAAAAAAAATAAAATTCCAATTTTTTTTCTCTCATCTATTAGATTCTCACTAGCCCTACAAAAGCTTGAATCTGAATTTGTCCATGAATCACACCCAAAAAATATAGTGTAGAGAGAGAGAGGGAGGAATGAACATAAATGAATAGTAATCAATTGTGTCTTTTTCATGAAATGTTTCCTCGATTTATAGAGGAGAGGGTACGATGATGATATTACATTTGTGTTCATGTTTGGAAGAGGTTTTTACTAGAGTATTTCTTGTATTTTACATGTATAGGCTACCTTCAGGTCGATGGGATCACCTCGGACGACATGGCTTAGTCGATATTTTGATCTAGCCCAACTGTCAATTTTTTATCCTTGGTTAGGAGCCATTGGGCTTCAATGGGATGTTTGAAAATAATGTGGAACTGGATCTTCACTTGGATCGGTTCTACCGAGGTATGACATCGGGTTGGGTCGACTTTCTTGAAGTGTTTGGCCTGAATGCTCTTTTATCTTTTTTTCTGGTTGAATGGTCCATGTTTGAATAGTCCAGTCGTCTCTTTATCCGCCTCATGGCTTCGTCGACTATTTTGACCTTTTTGGCTCGGCTCATATGGCGCTCAGTTGATCAAGTGGGAATCACTATCACCTGACAATAAATCAGCCTCCATTATACTATTCTCTTCTGAATTGTAAGAACTTTTTAAAATCAGTGCTGATCGACTCATGCATGTGGAATGGATATGCTCCGTCTTCTTCATCTTTTATATATAACGCCTATATATAACTCAATCTATAAGAGTATCATCCATCATGAGGTGCTGCGTTTGAACCGCTTTGAATTTTTATGTAGAGTATAATAGCACTTTTAACGCGTATGATTAGTTGGGACAATTACTATTGTATGTGGTGGAATGCATCTAAAACTCCAATTGTTTAATTTAGTTCACTGTTTTGCAAACGTCGCGGTACTGTTTGGTTCCTGCGTTCGGAGAAGCGTTTTTTATTTTTTGAAGAGACGGGGGCCGCGGGGTCTACCTCGCGGCCGGCGTCTTAGATTCGCGTTCGACGATTCTTTCCTCTCGTGCCCCTGTCGTCCGTCTCCTCCCTCTCTCTTGCCCGATCGCAGTATTGCCCTTGCTCCTCCCTCGCAAATTTTTGGCTTTTCTACGATCTATGTCGTCTATTTCTGCCACCTCCCTCGGCTCTCTCCTCTCCAGTTCTATCATGGTATCCGCATCCCTCGGCTTCAGCTCTTCGAGGATCTCTGGAAATTCTTTCTTCGCTTCCGCTCTCTCCGCTTCCGTTCTCGCCATTTCCCCTCGCTTCCGGTTCCATCCGCATGCCCCCGCTTCCATTTCCTGGCGCCCCATTCCTCTTTCTCTGGTATTTGCCTCACATTTTCATTTTTATCCGTTAAAGAGTGAATTAAAAATCTGATTTTGTCTTCCTGCAATTCATTTGGTTATAATTTATTAGTAAATTGTTGAAGATCCCATTGTTGTTGTTACTGGAGCTTCTAGAGCAATTGGAAAAGCAGTGGCTTTCGCATTGGGTAAATCTGGGTGTAAGGTAAGTAAATTGTTGAATATTTATGCTGCAGTGGGCCAATACTCTTCAAGTTAATACTTTTAGTAGTTGGCGGTTCCAGAGAGTTGCGCAGCTCCTCTATTTTCTTTTGTATAAGAGATATGGGAGTTTATAAAATATTATCACAGTTCTTGGCTTGGGCTGAAGAAGAAAGTTTCTAGCTAGAACAAGTTAATATATCTAGTTGCAGAATCTGTAATGAAGATTGTCGCATAGCTGGTTTGATTCAGTTACGTTCTTCTGAGCTTTAATTAGTTGTTCGTTAAAGTTCAATTCAATGGCCATGACAGGCAATGTGGTTAGGTAATGAACCAACTAATAGTTGCCTTATCTCTCATTTTTTTAGACATTTGAATGAATTTAATCGCAAATTCATACGACCCGCAGTTGTCAAAACTTTGATCTTGATACATCTTCGTCTAAGACAACACGATTGTTATCGCTATATAAATCTTTCATTATCTCCTGAATAAATTCAACTCTCGAATTTTAATAGTAATTTCTTTTTCTTTCACACAAGAAATAAATAAATAAATACATGGAAATAATTTTTAAGAAAAAAACATATCCACAAAAAACACATTAATCACCATCATAAAATTTGGTTATAAATTGTGCTCATTAATAGTTCAACTCATGCATGAACATTGAACAATAGTGGTTCTTTGAATTTTGCCACAAATCAAATAATAATAATTCAAATAATAATAGATAATTAATTACATAATGCCCTCTTGTCCTTTCCAATTTAGCCACGCTCGTGAGGGCAAAAACATAATGTTTTCATGCAAGCAAACCTTAGTCAAAAAGAAAGAAAGCCTAATTTGACCATGCCACCCCACGAATTCACCACTCTTTTGTCCTTTTTGTTTTGCCCAAAAAAGTAAAATTAAAATAATTGTCTTTAAAAAATTAAAAAATAAATAAACATTTGCAATAATTATAAGATAATTATAAACAATAAAATTATATTATTTAATTAATTGTTTTGACAAAACTATATACTTCTAGATTCATCAAAGGAGAAGCACATGATAAGTATAGAAGACCCAAGCCTTGGAACAATAATTTTTGTAATAATTTTCTACTATATATATATATATATATATAAGAATTTAATTTTCCGAATTTATTTAAAATCTAATCAACCAAATAACTATGTATATTATAAATACATGATATTTAGTTAATATTATATTTGTAATACGTAAATTCAAAATACTTATGGCCAAGCCACCTTAAATACTTGTGGCCAAGCCACCATAAATTCACCACTGTCGTAACCAAACTCAATTATCAAAGGAAAGTGGGTCAAGTGCGTTGACTCATGCTACCCTCCGGCTTATAAGAAAAAAAGTTAGCATGGCTGAACGGGAAAAAGATAAACATAGAACTTGGCCTACTTTGGCCTATTGGTTGAACCGAGCAAAAATTTATGTCCAGAATAAACAATCTCTTTTTAATTAATAAATTAAAACAAATTTCTTATATAATTTAGAAAATTTAATCATTTTGCCTTATCAGATTAGAAATGTAGCAACAAGAAAGAGAAAGCAAAGTTCGCCGTAAATTTAAGGAACGTTACATAATGTTGAATTGTAAATTGTTTTCTAACATTTCCGATTTCTAATTTCTTCCTTTGTGTCTTTCGATTCTTCCCCATTCCTTTCATCTTTCGATTATTCCTTGGTCTGATATGATGGCTCCCAAGTATTCTCCGACTCTCTTCGGTTCCTCCATCACTGTTGATGCCTCAATCTTCACAGCGAGAGACGTGAAGGAGATACAAGAGTGGTACATCTTTGATGATAGTATCGTAGGTGTTGAGTTTGAAGCGTTGGACGGATAATGCTGGTACAGATTTGTTCTTCTACCGAGGCCAATTCAAGTATGACCTCTGACTACCCATGCATAACGAGCTTCAGAGCATTTTTATTAAATATGGGGTTATTCCGGCCCAAGTTCTGACAAACTGTATTACGGCGATCATGACCTTAGTCATTTGTTGTCACCGGAAAAGCATCCCTTGGTCGATCGATCTATTTAGTCATTTTTTATTCGTTTCATATCAACAAGGAAGGCTTCATCGTGTTTTCGGCCAACAAGAAACTCCAACTATTTGGAGTGGAAAATAAGATAAAGGATCAAAATAAATAGTTTGTGATTACTTCTTGAGCTAGTGACTGGGGCAAGTCAACAGACGCGGCGTGGGACAAGTTAAAGTCCCTCCCGAAGCAACTGCATGCCGTCAAGGCAATGTTGAATTGACGCCAACTTTCGATTCCTCAATATACTGCTGAGAAGACAGTGACTCGGGTGTTACGATCGTCATTCAAAACACAGTGACCCCGAAGCAACTGCATGCCGTCAAGGCAATGTTGAACTGACGCCAGCTCTCGATTCCTCAATATACTGCTGAGAAGACAGTGGCTCGGGTGCTACGATCGTCATTCAAAACACAGTGATCGGCAAAGTTATCACTATTGATCGATCTCATTCAGTTGATGCAGGGAAAAGTGGGGGAAAGAAGCACGCCTTCAATGAGGGGGCTTCTGAAGGAGTCGAGGCCCTTAAGACTTCCGCTCGTAAGTCCACCCAAACAACCACCTTGCAGTGGCATGATTCTCTGTCGATTAGCTCTATCTCGCTCTACTTTCAGTCAGATAGTCCGCCTGTTATTGACTTGCCAGAATGGCCAAGGCCACTCGCGTCGAGCTTGCTTCACCCACTCTTTCATCAAAAAGGAAAAGGGGATCCTTCACCTGACACCCGGTAAAAGGGAGAGAGGGGATGTTATGGGTCAACTCCAACAAGCAATTCCATCTGTTAGATAACTTCAAATAACGGTATCCCCACTCCATGGAGACCGCTAGAATATCATTAAGCCCCTCGAGTATGATTCAACACACATCTCAGTTCAACATTGTAGCAACGCAAGCTGCCCACATTCAGGATTTGGTGCTAAGCAATGCAAAAGCCAAGGCGAATAAGAGGATCGCTTCACTAGAAGTCGATCTGCCGAGAGCCAAAGATGATGAGAAACTCCTCCAGCGAAAGCTCGAGAGCGCCGCTACGAACAACAAAGAGTTGGCTGGGATGTTGGATGCCCTAAAAGAGAAGGTTGCTTCGTATGTTCTGAAGGAAGAACA